GACATCTGGTGAAAATTTCATGTCATTAGCACCTCTAGTAATATATTTACTGAGAAAAATGGTGACGTGTTCAATAATTATTTTACCCGCTGTATAGCAGCCAAATTGTAATGCTAGATGTTTTTCTAAATACTATCGGTATTCAGAAAATCTGCAAAACAGTACAAATATATAAGCAACAATAACTACTTCAATGTGTCGCTTTACAAAATAAGTGTATCTTAGTGTTGTTTTACAGATTCACAAAATGCATCTTGTGTATAATTTAGGTGCTACAACACAACAGTAAAACAGGAATCAAACAGAGCAGAAGACTGGCGGCAGAGGCAAACCGATGATGTTGATCCCTAAAAATCAAAGAATTAAAATCCTCAAACATGCATTCTGAAACAATGTTGGGAGGTAGACAACGGGATGAGGATGTYGGCAAACAAAGAGGCACAGATTGTTTGCATGCAAGTAGTTCAAATGCCAGTCATTCAAGCACGTACAGGCGTATGTGTTTGAATTGCAGTTCTTTGGCATTTAGCAAAAGATCTATGGATGTTCCAGCATGCAAGAAAAGGCTACACTACAGAGGCAGCTAAGCACATATCTAAGTGGCAAGCGTCCATGTACCTCTGTGACCTGCTTTTGTATTTTCTCTGCCTCCAGCTTCAGTTTCTCGCGCTCAGAGGAGAGTTCTGTGACCAGGTTGCGGTGGTCTACATTGCTGTGCTGGCTGGCTTGCAGCTGCAGTTCCAAGGCGGTAATCTGAGAGGAGAGCTCGTCATCCAGTCCCTTTTTGGATCTAAGGAGTTCTTCTTTGTCTTGTTGCGCTGTCTTCAGATCTTCCTCCAGCCTCAACCTTTCTTTGGTTTGTTTTTCTACCATTTCCTTCAGCTTCTGGAGTTCAGCAGTGTTCTTGTTAAGTGCCGTACTCTTCTCTTCAACAGTCTTGTAAAGACCCTCGTTTCTGAGAGTTGCCTCTTTGACTCGGACCTGCTCCTGCAGAAGTTGCTGCTTCAGTGTGTTCAGTTCGACACTCAGCTGAGTGTTCAGCTCTGCATTATTCTGGTTTTGTTTTAAGCTTTTCTCAAGCTCTTCCTTCAATTTAAGATGCTCCTCTTCCCGTCTCTTCGCTGACGTGCTGACTTGTTCCTGGTTCTGGCGCAGCTGGGCGATGGTACTTGTGTATTCTTTTACAGTCACGTTGGTCTTTTCCAGCTCTGTCTCCACCTGTATTCTCCTGCTCACCTCCTCTTGGTGAGTCTGCCTCAGATTCTCCACCTGACTCTCGAGACTATCCCTCACAGCCTGCAGGTCTTTGACCCGTCCCTGTAACCTGCACAGGTTTTGCTCTACTCTGTACCGCTCTTTGCCTTCTCTTTCCAGCTGTAGATGTGCCTGCTGGAGATCCACCTCGTACTCTTTCAGCTGGGTTGCAGCCACTGAGGAGTTGGTTAGTTTCACCTGCACCGCTGCTAAAGACTGCTCAAGCACGGCCTGCCCTTCCTCTGTGATTTCTCTCCTGCGGGTCTCCTCCTCTAAACTGTGATTAACATAAATTAGTTGGTCACTTCTCTCTTGCAGGGTCTTCATGACTTCTGTTAGCTCCTCTCTGTACTGGTTGATTTCCTCATCCCTCTGACTTATCAGTAACTCCATTTGACTTTCCATTTCTCTCCTCCTGCGTCCTTCTTCTATGAGCAAGGCCCGCTGACTGCAAGCCTCATCCTCGGCCTTTTTCTTGAGGTCCTCAGTCTGTTTGATGGAAATCCTGAGCCTCCTGAGTTCTTCCTCCAGACTCCTCCTCTCTGCCTCCATCCTGTCATACTGCAGCTGGAGCTCAGCTATATCATCATCCCTCTGTGTTGCCAGCCTCTGAATATCTGTGCGACTGCTCTGGATGTGGGATTCGTAGCTGAGCTTTAAGTTATTGATCTCCTTACTGAAATGACTCCTTACCTTTGAAATATCTTTCTGTAGCTCCATGACCCTTGCTGTCTCCTCATTCAGCTGCCGCCGCAGCTGCTCAATCTCAAGCTCCTTACTTGTCACAGTCTTCTCCACCTCCACCTTGGACCAGCTGACTGTCTCCAGCTCCGTCTGCCTCTTCCTCAGCACCAACTCATACTCTTCTTGCTGCTTTGTGTAGCGCTCTTCTGCCAGCTTTGTCTTCCGTTTTTCTTCCCCCAGAAGGTACTTGAGACGCGCCACCTCGTCGTTGAGGTCCGCCAGCTGACTCTGAGTGGAGTTCAGGCTGTCCTTGGTGGCGCTGCACTGCATCACCGTGCTCTGCTTCACCTCTTCCAGTGACAGCAGCTGGTCCTTGGACTGGGACAGCTCCAGCTGGTACCGAGCGAGAGCGTCTTCCAGTGATTTGTTTTTGGCGTTGCGGTCCTGCATGTCGTCTTTCAGCAGGCGAAGTTCCTCTTCGAGCAGGTCAATCTGGGTGTTGCGCATCTAGAAGGAAAATAAGAGTGAGAATGGGTGCAATGGTTGCCGATTTTATTTCAAACACAGTTTAACTCTTTATTCATTTTCTTTGAAATCTCYGGCAGTCTCTGTGCAACAAATGGGGTACACCACGGACAGGTCACAAGTMTATCAYAGTGCCATATAGAAACACACAAACAAACTTTGAGTTACCAATTAGCTTAAACAGCCATGTTTTTGGTCTGTTGGAGGAAACTGAAGTACARTCAAAATCAGTCTAGATCAAATCAGTCTAAAAATTAAATAAAAATTCTCTATCTGGGCCACATTTGGGCCAAATACAGCAGTTATACAGCACCTCTGGCACAGATATAACCTGGTTCTTTTTACAGTTTCTGAGTGCAGTCCAGTATTTGGCCCAAAACGGGCACAGATACCTTTTGCTGTCAGGTTAAATATTTCTAATTTTACTTTTCTATTCATTTTATTTTCTGAACAGAATTCTACTCCGTGTAATCCCGCCCCTCTTTATCTTACTTAGCAAAACAGAGGGAATCACCATAGCAACCACTAACTGAACTAATCTACTTATGCACYCCTATAAAAAATGACCAGATGTGCATGTAGCAAAGGTGCATGGCTGGAAAAAACAAGGCATTTTCTTAAAACAATAAAAATACTTTCATACTTTACATTTTTTGAATTTGACAAACATTACATTTACAGAATAAGTCAAGAGCAAAGGCCAGTTTGGGACTGATTTTGTTGTTTGCATTAGCAATTTTAGCTTGTAAAAAAACTCTGGTTTTGATGCACTTAGATCTGAAAGAATACCTACGGAGCTCGCCGGGGGTCAGTGGTGAAAAAAGAAAAACAGCCACCGGAAATCTGTGCGCACGGATTGCTAAACTGAGMGCACRGATTACTAATCTGTGCGCTCAGTTTCTGCAATCAATGCGCGCAGATTGTGTCGACAGGTTGGACGCATGGTGTGTGTTGCACAATCTGTTTTGTTGTATCCGGTTTTATTGTGAAAGGCTAAACAGGAAGTGAATACTGTGAGTGCCGGGACAACTTGTTGTTTCGGGGTTAGTTGTTGCTCGAATCCTTGCCTCAGAACACAACCGTATGAAGCCACATCTGCAAGATAAATTCAGTGGATCTGTTGTTATATAAACTTAAGGCACTGTCGTGTTCTCATCAACACACTTTTTAGCCACAGAATGTCCCTGAAAGTTTCAACAAAATCCGACGTGGTTATTTATTTATTTTCATATTTTGCAGGCAAATGAATCCTGAAACGGAGGTTAGCCTCCTCCACCCTCCCGTCCCCCCCTTCTGTTGTGAAAGAGAATAAACATCTGAGAACAGCTGGAGAAAACCTCCAAGCGGCTTGCTGTCGAGAAATGTCCCCGTGTGGCGAGCTTCATCTGCAGAACGACAATCATGGGAGCCGCAGCCCCGCTCGTACTCTGAAATGTTTCAAACTTTATTCAGATGTTTCTGTGGTGTAATAAATGTTTTTGAAAGAGTAATAAACATTTCCTCATTTCCTAAAAGTTCGACATAAATCTATTCAGTACTTTTGTGATATAACCCTGAGAAGGCAGCTGGCTAACTTTAGCAAAACTTCCCCGTTGTCAGGGAAACTAAACATCCTGTAACCACGGGCAGAAAGCGGCTTCCTGTGATGATCCGATCAGAGCTGAAACAGCCTTTAGGAGACCCAGTACCAAAACTGCCTGAAAGAGGGGCAAAAACTGTGCAACATACTCAAAGTCCAACATTTTCTGTGCTGTACTTTGACTTTTGTGAACAAAAAATGCTCCTTAAGCACTTTCTGAGCTGATGAACGACAGTTCACACAACCACCCTCCAGATATCAGTAATCCGTGCGCACGAATTGCAGAAACCGTGAGCACAGTTTAGTAATCCGTTCGCTCAGTTTAGTAATCCGTGCGCACGAATTGCAGAAACCGTGAGCACAGTTTAGTAATCCGTTCGCTCAGTTTAGTAATCCGTTCGCTCAGTTTAGTAATCCGTTCGTTCAGTTTAGTAATCTGTTCGCTCAGTTTAGT